GGGGGGGGGGGGGGATTTTTCAATTTTAAAAGTATTCTTAAAATTATTGTGTTACCATGACAACTACTTTCAAATATTCATATTCAGAAAACATAATGTTTTGTCAGTAAGGAGAGGGTTTCTACATGCATGTATTTTCTAGTCTAGTCATATACTTAAAAGTAGCTGTGGCATGTTGCCCTCCACTGTTGGCCATCATTTTTTTGCTCTCTTAACTACTTTTTCCCACTTCTAAAGAGGTCTTTCATCTTTTAAGGAAAACAGGTATAAAAAGACTCAAGGTTGGCAAGTGCTTAAACAACAAAATTTATCAATTTCAAAAAATATTTCTCAAGGCCACTTTGTAAAAAAGGACTGAGGCAACCTGCAAAATCATCACTCATGAGTGGCTTCAAAGATGGCGGCGGAGTTATCGGTGCAACTATTACCTCTAATGAGAACAAGTGTTAAATTTAATGGAATTTGAATATTTTAGCTGTGAGAGAGATTCACACCATTGAGGTATGACGGGTGATTACCACCAAAATGTTATTACTAATTTGCTAAACCACATCATTTTACATTAAACCTGGTTTTCTGTTGTTTTACATTTTGTGACAAACCCAATTTTTTATTAATTCGACAAACTGAATTTTGTGACAAACTGAATTTTCTGTTGTGTCACGGCTGAGAAGAATGGTAACCAATATTGAACACTCTCAGATATCTTATCTCAAATGCTCCTAGTTCTTCCCTCAATTTCCCTATTTGCTTAATGCTTTTCATGCAAGAAACAACATGGTGAGCAAACGTTCCTTTTCTACAGCTATAAATTTACTTTGACAGGCAACAGATATTCTTTCGGCTTCAAGTACCAAAATAAACCCAGATGCCACGTCAACAGTTCCTCCAAATAACTCGAACCCAATTGTCTGAATAGATGGGTTTCAAACCAAATTTCCAAACAGGTGGTACAACACTGCCAACGGTTTGTGGCTGGACCAAGCCAATCAGCTGTATCTAGTAATTTAAATTAATTGAGTGCCAGTACTAATAATCGAGAACAAGCAGTTCTTTCCCATTTCCGAAGCCTTTTTGCTCCTTATTGTAACGGCCATGGTTCAACTAATTCGTCCTGTTTCTCAACATTGCAAAAAGCATCTCGCCCATCAACATCAAGACATACAAACCAACCTGTGCCATATTGTATAAAAAAAACATGGACACATGAATTTATTTGTTTGAAAAATCCCGCAAAAATTATATATTTTCAAGTTTAGAAGTTGTGCTTTAGATAGATAGATAGATAGATACTTTATTGCGTGTTCCCCTAAGAGCTTTTCAACACTACATTACATATTAAAATTACTATAAATTACTTCTAAAACTACCTATGTTACATATACTTATTTAAAATTAGTTAAAATATATACAAAGAGTATAAAATATTAAATGTATTTAATAGGATTCTTTTAGTAAAATCTCCCTAAGTTTTTTCTTAAAAATTGTTATTGATGTAATATTTTTTAGTTTATCATCCAAGTCATTCCATATTTTAACACCCCGGTAATTAAATGTTCTTTGACCTGCAGCAGATTTATACAGAGGGATGTCCAAGAGGTCATGATTTCTTGTCGATCGATCATGTATGTCGGAACGCTTTATAAATTTATCTACTAGGTAGTCAGGTGCAAGTCCATTAAAACACTTGTAAGCCATTACAGTATCCCTTTCCAATAATAACTTTTCCACTGGCAACCAATTTAGTTCGCGCAACGCCGGAGTTATGTGATCGAACTTTCCTACCCCTGATATAACTCTGCACGCGAAGTTCTGCACTGATTGAAGTTTATTGATATTGTTAGATGACGTGTTGGACCACACCGTAGAGCAGTACAGAAGCTTGTTAATTACAAGTGTCTCAATGACCAATTTTAATGTTTCATTATCGAAACTATCCTTCACGCGATTTATTTGACATAGTTTTCTCATACACGACGAAACGAGTTTAGATATGTGGTCGTCGTAGGATAGGTACGAATCCAAATTGATCCCAAATCTTTAGCTAATAAAACAGGTCTTATAGTCTTTCCTAAAAATGTTAGCGATATTTCTGTAGGTACATTCTGCAGCATGGGTCTTGAACCGACTACAAGGAATTTAGTTTTTTCTGGATTGATCAGTAATTGGTGCTCCAAACACCACTTGGCTGCTATTTGTAGATCTGCCTCTAAATTGATAGTAGTCTGTTCCAAGTCGTAGATGCAGAATGATTTGTAAAGCTTTGAGTCGTCTACGTATGAATCAAGGTTACACGATTGTATGCACCCTGGCAGATCATTAATATAGATGCAAAACAGAAGTGGTGATAGTATTGCACCTTGTGGAACGCCATGGGTTATTGGGCGAGCTGATGACTTGGTGGATCCAATGCGCACGTATTGGGATCTGCCTGTTAAATAGTCTTGGAACCATTTAACAGCTTCGGGGGAAGCACCGATACAACTCAATTTGTGTAATAAAATCGAATGACTGACACTGTCAAATGCCTTGGATAAATCCAATAAAATTAGTGCCGTTAGATTTTTGTTGTCTATGGCTTCCAACATCGTATCGGTAACAAATATGTTTAAGGTTTCTGTGGAGGGAAGACTCCTATTCCCGCTTTGATGTGACGATATGCGATTAAATTCTTTGAGGTAGGAGCTAAATTGATTTAGAACAACTTTTTCACAAACTTTTGAAACTACCACGAGTAGTGAGAGAGGCCGATTGTTTGAGGCTATCTCGTGGTCTCCTTCTTTTAGTAGGGGTATAACTTCAGAAATCTTCCATAGGTCAGGGAATGTGCTTGTCATTAGAGAGCAATTTATCATATGCGTAAGAGGACCCAGTATGATTGGAAGACAGTCTTTGATGACACGCATGCCTATTTTATCTGGTCCTGGTGACTTATTACTTGGCATAGCCATGATAATGCATTGAACCTCTGTACAAGTAACGGATTGGAAATTGAACAGTTGATCAGATGGATAAGTGATTACATTTGACAGAGGATTTGACAGTGCAACATTGTTGTCTTTGGCTAAACTTTCGGCTGTCGCAGCAGCATTCCGTCCCACAGAAGTAAAAAACAGGTTGAAATCTTCTGCAACTGTTTTTGGATCTTTACTATAAACTTGTGTTTCCTTTTCCTTCGAGGGAATTATATTATTAATTATTTTCCATAGGGATCTCGAATTGTGTTTATGTTCTCTTACTTCGTTGAAGGTGTGGTCCTTCGCTGCGGCTTTAATTTTGGTTTTTACGTTATTACGATATTCTTTGTAAACTACCCAATCACCTTCATCACGTGTCAGTTGAAACCGACGGAGGTGTAGGTCCCAAGACTTCATGAGTTCTTTTATTTCATTGGTGACATATGGACATGATCGATTTCGAATTTTGAAGGTTTTTAACGGTGCATGCACGTCGAGAGTTGAGTGAAGAACATCTTTGAAGGTTTCGAGTATTGTATTAACGTTGGTGTTGGATAATATGGATAACAGACGATCCGATTTAGTGACAAGGTCAGAGGAAAATAATGAGGGATTATAGTTTTTATAACTCCTAGTTGTAATAAGCGTTTGGGACGTCGCCGTGATTCTAGTTGGAGTTTTAATAATCTGTGTGAGATTTAATTCTGTAGAAAAATTTGTCAGCGCTCTCCGCTCCTGGCCGTTTTCTAGCATGTTACAATTTAAGTCACCGAGCACTAAAATCTGTTTATTCAAAGTTAAAGCCTGAACATAATTTGGCTTAAGTAAATCTTCGAAACAATTTAGAGAAGTGTCAGGTGGTCGGTAGGTTACACAAATTATTATTGATTTGTATTTTTGGCATTGTAGATTTATCCATAGTTGATGAAAGTTAGAGACTGAC